ACAGGGGGCTAGCTAATATTCATATTCAAGTTCAGTTCCTATCCAAGATTCCCCTTCTGTAGCACCAGCCAACATATCACAGTAGAAAACAGTAGTTTTATGTGCACAAAGAATAAAATTGTACAGACAGGGTCAACATTGATTTGGGTCCAATTACTGCTGGCTCTCTGGTGCCCAGCCCTGGAATCAGTCTCAGGTGTCACCAACAGCCAGCTTTCACTCATTTTTAAATCCATGTTTATTGAGTGTCTGTGATATGCCAGTCACGCTGCTGAGCACTTGGATCAATTGTCTGCTTTCCTTGTTACATCTCTTTAAGCTAAGAATTATCAGCACTCCCATTGCAGGGGAGGGAACGGAGGCCCAGAGAGCCTGAGTAACTTACCTAAGGTCAAGGAGCTAGTAAATGGCAGACTGTGCTAAACTCAGGTCTGTCTAGCTTCCAGGCCCTTGCCTCCAGTGACACCCACTGCCCTGCAATGACTCAGAACAGATGACCTATTCAGGGAGGTTGAGATGCAAGAGTTCATTTTCAGGAGAGCAATTGATTAAGGCTTCAGTAAGGGATTGGCATTTGAGCTAAACCTTGGAAGACGCACAGGAAGGCTGCAGGACAGGGCACAAAGCAAAGTGGACCAGGCAGGAGGCCTCAGTTCCTCTCCTGGCCGACCTCACCACTTCTTGATACACTTCCTCAGAAGACTGCTTGTCCGGGATCCTGGAGAACAGGCTTTGAAGGCATAGAAGCAGACTGGCCAATTGGTGAGGAACAGTAGTTTAAATGTCCCTCCTCTATAGATAGGGAGCTCCCATGACTCTCCAGAAGCCTGTCTTAAACATGAGGTTGAGAAGCAATTTATTCTTCAGAATAATTGCCAAATGATACCTATTAAATTTTTTTTTAAATATATATTTTTGTTGATTTCAGAGAGAAAGTGAGAGGGAGCAATAGACACATCAATGACGAGAAAGAATCATTGATTGGCTGCCTCCTGCATGCCCCCCTACTGGGGATTGAGCCCACAACCTGGGCATGTGCCCTTGACCAGCATCTAACCCAGACCCTTCAGTCCACAGGCCAACGCTCTATCCACTGAGCCAAACCAGCTAGGGCAAATTTCCTTTTAATTTGTGCATCCCATTTCACCTCAGTGAGGCAGAATGACTTTTTCATGTTGTAGGTGTTTAATACATGTTTGATTAATTTAATTACAGTCAAAGTAGACTTTTAAGTGAGAAGATAAGTCAGATTATATTACTTTTCCTCTGTTCTTCCAACCTTACCACTCATGGTTCTAAAATTGAGTCTCCAAGATTTTTGCTGGCACTGAGAACTAAAGTGGTTTCTCTGCCTTCCGTTAAGCACCAGCAGTCATGTTGGAAAACCAACTGGAAAGTTATCTCAGGGACAGGCCTGCAGTTTGGTTGCAAAGCAGAAACAGCACAGTGATTTAAAGTCTGTCTTCTTTGAACTGCTTGGTTCCAGGACTCGGGTGTTCCAGGCTCCCAGCTGGGGTCTGGGGAACACGAGGAGGTTTGGCTGGCAGTGCAAACATGGGCTGCTCAGGGTTCATATTCAGCCATTTCGGGAGCTTGTGATGGCTTTACCAGCAACATGGGTATCCTGGCATTTCAGATCCTGAGCCAGGGAGCCACCCACTTGGCCTTGAAAGCAAATCTCAGCTTTGCTCCTGTGTGGGACATCACACATGCCTCCCCATGTAGCGCAACCATTCTCTCGACTGAACTCAAGTTACTACTGCACAAGCTCATAAATACTCCCACATCATTTATCCCAGTGTTTTCGGTTTTAAGGCACTAAAGGTAGCTTAGGTTTTATTTCATTTTATTTTCACTTCAACCACCACCCAATAAAAGTTTCAAGTAAGACCTAAAAACCTGGGATCATCCAGATGCTAATAAAACAATACTAGCATCCCAGGTCCTGGAGGAAGATATATCCCTGGCATTAATAATCTTTTAACGGGGATCCAGCACTGACTTTTAACATGGGTTTGGCTCTTTTTTCAGTCATTTCTTTAAAAGAAATAGCAAACTTTTAAGTTTTAATGAGACAAATATTGTCTTAATGAGCAAAGTATATGAATGACTAATCCCCTTATGTATGGAACACCTGCAGTACATGTTCAAAGCCCATCCTCTGAAGACAGACCCAGCTTCCTGCGGTAGCTCTGTGATGGGTTTCCTAAGGCTGAGCAGCTGTGGATGGAGGCACTGGTGACGGTGTGCATGCTAGGATTTTACCCACAGCCATAAATATTAAACCTTATCTTAGATAACCTATTTGTGATGGATATAGTGCTTCAAACGAAAAAATCGGTTTTTATTCTAACCTTGATTTGAACAAAGAGCTTGGCGCCTCTGGCCCTGAGTTTTCCTCAAATGTGCTGTGGGAATTATATGTCCTAAAGGTCAGGTGGCATAACGGATGTGCAGGTGCCTTGAAAACTGTCATTCACTATACAGAATCTTGGCGCATTTGAATGAAGTTCCCTATCAACCCTGAGAACTTAAGACAGTCCTATGTAAAGTGCGCTGCTTTATGAGATGAGCAGGTATTTTCCTCCCCACCCTGCCCCCTGCCTTTTTCAGGGAGAATTGCTGTTTCCTTTTTTTGGTAGAAAAAAAGTATTTTTTTCTTCTCTTCCCTGCCAATTCAGTGGTCCACCTATTTTTCCCCTCTAGCCCACTTTCCCTATTTGCATTATTAGAATAACAATCCGGAAAAAGTGAAACTGGCCCTCCCTAGGCCTGGCCCCTAGAGCACTTTCCCACCAAGACCTCCTGTCTCTCTGAGCTGGTCCATGATGAGCAAGGCTCACCCTAAGGACAGCAGTGTCGCTGCAGCACCGGTGAAGAGGACAGGAACGCCAGGTGGGATGCAGCAGAGGAAGAGCCTCTCTCTGGTTACCAGGACAGTGCCTCTCAACACTTGATAGCATTTTTCTTTCTAAATCAACTATTTAGGTACCTACAGTACCTTCTGTGGTGCATCTGGGATCATCCAGATGCTAATAAAACAATACTAGCATTCCAGGTCCTAATAACTATTTGTCCAGTAAGTGACTAAAAGAGGAAATAAGTGGGAGGGAATCTTGATCCCAAGCTGCCCAGTTTTCGCTGGTGACACATGGTCCCAGTGGACTAGGAGAACCCAGTTCGATGGTGGGAGTTGTGCTGCTGCTGCTGCATGAAGTTGTCCCTTCCCCTACCACATCAGTGGGTACTAGAAAGTTGTGTGCCAATAAGAGCTACTCTAAATGCTTGGAGAGGGAGGGGTGGGCTTAGAAAGAAACATTTCTGTTAAAAAGAAAAAAAATACTGTCAACAATAGTATGGTAAAACAGTAAGCAATCCTTAATGTATATATTTTGTATGTCTAGATTTTTTTTAAATTGGAAGTTTTATAAAAGGGTGAAATTTTCACTATCACTTACAATGGAGTTCATGTTGTATCATTTATATTTTTATGTTTTAGGTCCTCCTGGTCCTAGGGGTCCAAAAGGTGACAGGGGCGCGCAGGGCCCCCCTGGTCCCACTGGCAACAAGGGACAGAAGGGAGAGAAAGGGGAGCCTGGTCCGCCCGGCCCTGCTGGTGAGAGGGGTCCAATTGGGCCGGTCGGCCCTCCTGGAGAGCGAGGCAGCAAAGGCTCCAAAGGCTCTCAGGGCTCCAAAGGCTCCCGTGGGTCTCCAGGGAAGCCCGGCCCTCAAGGACCCAATGGGGACCCAGGCCCACAAGGCCCACCAGGCAAGGACGGACTCCCCGGCCCCCAGGGCCCTCCTGGCTTCCAGGGACTGCAAGGCACCGTGGGGGAGCCCGGGGTGCCTGGACCGCGGGGACTGCCGGGCTTGCCTGGGGTGCCAGGCATGCCAGGCCCTAAGGGCCCCCCTGGCCCTCCAGGCCCATCAGGAGCAGCAGTGCCCCTGGCCCTGCAGAATGAGCCAACCACAGCACCTGAGGCCAATGGTAAGTCTGAGCCCTCCCTGGCACCAGGGGACGGGGCAGTGTGTGTGCTCATGGCGGGGCTGGCCCCAGTGTGCCCTCCGTGTTCCCCCACACCCGTAGGGGAGGCACTGGGCTCTGCTGCTCCCACAGGCACATGTAAACATGATAGGTTCTCTAGTCCTTGTTTATTTAGCTGAGTCGGCCCTCAGGGACAGACTTGTCCCCAGACATTTCCTTCTTGAAAGTCCAAGGCTGGCCACTCCCGACCCATCCTGTCCTCACTTTATGCCCTTCACCTGGGGACAGATGTCCCTCACTTAACATGCAGGTGGAACTTTGTGTTACTGAAGCCCAGATTTCATGGCTTCTGAGCACGTATTATGGTGACTTCTAGCCCTTTTCATAATTAAACCTTTGGTAAATTCTTAAATGCTGGGTTTGCACCCAAGCCTATTTTTCTCTTTGGACCCACCCCCAATTTCACTTGATTTCCTTCAGTACCACTCGGGTCATCTTTGCTGTTCTGTGAGCCCGATTAGGTTCTGGGTTCTCCCTGGCAGTTGTCTATAGGTTCCATATGACTCCAGACTGACGGTGACCATCTGTGCCTGCACTGCCTTTGGTTGTTGTTTCTGTCATTGTAAGAACTAATCTGGATGCAGAAGAACAAAGCACAGATATTTTCCAGATTATGTAGCTTTAACCATAATTGCAGCTCCCTGTACTTGTCTTTGCTCCCAGCATGTCCGGGCTCCACACCCGGACACGGGGCTGCTCCAGGCCTGTGCGGGAAGCAGGGCCTCTTGCACACAGCTGAAGAAGGCATGGTGCTTTTCCTGTTTTGTTTTTAATCAGTGTTGTGAACCTTTGCACTCCTAGGCTGCCCGCCTCACTGGAAGAACTTCACAGACAAATGCTACTATTTTTCGGTGGAGAAAGAAATTTTTGAGGATGCGAAACTTTTCTGTCAAGAAAAGTCTTCACATCTCGTTTTCATAAACACAAGAGAGGAACAGGTATGTTTGCAGCATACTTAGAGTTGGGGAAAACTATAATTTAGGGATAGTTTACATTTGGAAATTGCATGCTTACTGGGGAGTCAAAGATATCAAAAATTCGTGGTCGTATAAAAACAGAAGGCTGTATTATGGAGATTTGGGCTTTATCCAGTGACAAGAAGCATTCCTGGCATGGGAATTGTATCCTCCTGCTCCCACCTGGAAGATCGCTCGTCCAGCCTGGGAGACGTGTGGCACCTCCTGGTGGCTGTCAAGAGCAGTAACGCAGAAGAGAAGCCTGTGGGCTGGCACCTGAGGAGAGAGGGGCAAAGAGGCATGAGCACCATAGGGGTAGAGTGAGGTGTAAGGGACCAGACATGTGGCCCCAGCAGGGTCAGAAAGAGCAGAAAAGTCCATAGGGACCGAGCCCACACGAGCTGTTGATGGTGAGCACTCCGTTGGCCCTTATGTGTGCCAGGCACCGTTGCAAGCCATTTTCTCCTTTAAACTTTACTACCCTACTGAGGTTCCACAAGGTTTAAATGGTTTCATCATGGGATGACAAATAATGCAGAGCTGAGCCTGAAAGTGAGGTCCATCTGGCAATGCCGATAGTCTTTCTTTGGTGCCACCCTGTTCCAGTGGCCTCCTTCCTTTTCCCTGAGTATCTCCAGCAAACACAACCCAGAAGATAGATGCTTCCCATAGTAACTGACTGGGAATGAGCATATAATCAGGTGCTGCGGCTTTAGGATATACAGAGCTGGGCCCAATCCCAGCTCAGCCGCTTATCTTTATTACGTAGGTTGTTGTAAGGCATAAAGACACGTTGCATGTAACATACTGGATGTGGCACCTGGCCCAGGGAAAGATCTCTATGATGCCATGGCTGTTGCTATTATAGACAAACACAGGAAGGGTGGGTGGTTGAAGGGGATGGAGCTGGCTGAACTCACTGAGTGGCCTGGGTGAGTTAGAGGAGGAAGAGCACTGCTGAAATATTACTTGTGACTTTACTAGGGCCCCAGCGCATGAATTCATGCACCTTGAAAGGAACTGTGGGCTGTGAGGCTGCAGCGGGCACAGGGGCGGTCTCAGCCCATTCTCCGCGCCCCTGCCTGGCCCCTCCTGCATGGCCCCTGGTCTGCTGGCAGCCCCACTCCTGCCACGCGCTGACAGTGCCACACCCGCTGATGGTGCGGAGCAGTTGGGGCTGGAACCATCAGCAGGTGCAAGCCGTGGCAGCTCCTGCCCTGATTGCCCCTCAGGAGCAGGGAGAGGTGCAGAAGCCCTCAGGGGCAATCAGGGCTGGCACTGCTCGTACCCGCTGACAGCGCCGGCAGCGGGTGTGAGTACCGGGCAGGAGCGCAGCACATGGGAGCAAAGAATTTTTAGTAACCATCAGAGGCTTGCCCCAATGACAGCCACCAGCGTGGTCTGGCACCCCTGCTCACGCCCCCCTGGTGGTCAGCACACGTCATAGCAACCAGTTGTTCCGCCATTCGGTCTATCCTATATAATAAAAGGCTAATATGCAAATTGTCCCCTTGACTGGGAATTCAACCAGGAAGCAGGCCAGCCAGCCAACTGCCTGTGGCCCCTACCCCCACCCTCCCCCCACTGGCCTGCCCCCATCGGCCCTGATTGGAGCAGGCCAGCCGGACCCCACCTGTGCACAAATTTGTGCACTGGGCCTCTAGTATAGGAAAAAAGGAAAACTGTCAAAGCCCCCAAGACAGTGCCAAACAAAAGAACAATAAAAAGGAGTATAGCGCCCTAACTGGTTTGGCTCAGTGGATAGAGCATCAGCCTGCGGACTCAAGGGTCCCAGGTTCGATTCTGGTCAAGGGCATGTACCTTGGTTGCGGGCACATCCCCAGTAGGGAGTGTGCAAGAGGCAGCTGGTTGATGTTTTTCTCTCATCGATGTTTCTAACTCTCTATCCTTCTCCCACCCTCTCTGTAAAAAATCAATAAAATATATATATTTTTAAAAAGGAGTACAGCAAAAGCAGAGTAATGTGCTGACACACATTTTCTTTTAAATTGTCCTTATTTTCTAAATGTTGGGGGAGAAACCCCACAGACATCTGTTCCAAGAAATACTAATGCACCGTCTCTGGTTTATTGCTCAGCAATGGATAAAAAAGCAGATGGTGGGGAGAGAGAGCCATTGGATCGGCCTCACAGATTTGGAGCATGAAAACGAATGGAAGTGGCTGGATGGGACGTCCCTAGAGTACAAGTGAGTGCTCAGAAACTTCCAGCTCGGTGGTCAGACTCGCACTGTTCTGTTTTTCACCTCTTGCCTGACTTCCTACGACTTCTTCCTTAACTCTATGTCTTAGACACTCCGCACACTGAGGTTCCTGGTACCAGTTGTGCATTTCTATGAAGGGAAATTGTAGCTGGGATGCTAGAACGTAGGATTTTTCTTTTTGTGAAGTGAACTTTTTTCATTTCTGTGGAAGAAAATCAGACTCATAAAAACCACATATGTGGCTGAAGCGTTCTCTTTAAATGCTGCCAGGAAGGAGAAGGGAGCCCAGACGACCTCAGGCACATTCAGAGTTCACCCCTAATCTGGTTGGGCTTCTGTCCAGAGCATGATTATGAACTGCAAGTTTTACGGAAGTTCAAGTGTACTCTAAACAAAGGCATTCGTGGGGTAACCGTCTCCTAAAGGTTTGAAGATTCCCTCGTGTGGTCCGATGTGACTTGGGTTCTCTGAAGAATGCAAGCATGTCACAGCACCTTCTCAGCGCTCCCGGGCCCAGCTGCCTACCCCAGGTGTCCACCATCCCTAATCCTGCCCAAAGGTCTGATGATAACTAACTTCGTGCCAATTTAAATTTCACTACTTCCTGGTCCTGCCTTGCCTCTAATGGATGTGGAAATATACAATACACTGTACTAAATGGAGCAGAATTTCTAAAAACCCACCTCTGAATCCTTTCCTTTGCTGGAGACAGAAGACGTGGGTGTGCATAGGGTGAGGGCATCTCAGCTTCAGGAGCATGTCCCGAGTGTGGAGGAGACTGCAGCATCCATGGCACCAGGAGAGGAGAAAGCAAGGACGCTTCGGGTCTCAGGCGGTGTCACGGGCATTGAGGCCAGACCTGGAGGAGTCGAGGAGCAGGCATGGGTCAGAGGTGGTGGAGAGGGGCTTCTCTGTACTTTTAAGTCATCCATGTGAAAATCACGATTGGAAGATACAGATGACCAGAATAGGGCCATGTCTTTAAAAAAAAGCGAGGGCCCACAAGTCAAGGTGGAACATTTGAAGATTTTAGGTCGGCTGAAGATGAGCCTCGGCCTGGCCCGACAGATACCCTTCCTTGGGGAGGGGATGTGGCACCACACCCTGGTCCCCGGAACGTGGCCGTCAGCCGGAGGAGGGTGCCCAGCATGGCTGAGGGGCGCTTCAGGAGACTCAAACTGTTGAGAGTTGGCATCTAAAATCGGAGCAGCGCAGGGCTGGAGGTGGTGTGAGAGGCAGTGGTGATTAAAGGAAAGGATGAATCTGACAGGTAAGAATGCCAAAACCTTTTTTTTTAAAAGGAGCCCAAGGGGTGCTGAAAAAATACCAGTCTCCCCCACTATTCTCACAGCCATAAATGCAAAAAAGGTCTGGGTTAGACTCACTAAGAAATTCAATCTTAAGCCTTCCTCCAAGAAAAAAACCAACAGATTGGCGCATATGGAACGGGTTGAGGAGAAACATTACTGTCTACGCCAGCTCTCCCAAGGCGGGACTTTCCGCCTCGTCCCCAGGCTCCAGCGAGAATTACATGATTTGGAAGGAGAGCACCAGCTTTCGTACCTGGGACCCGAGGTACCAAAAGATTACATCAGCAGACACCTTCCCGGGACCCTGTCCCCAGACACCCTGGGACCCCACCCCTGCGAGCTTTGGCTCTGCACCCCAGTCACAGCACCGACTGCGCTTCTCATTTTCCACCCAAAGGAACACATATACGTGTAAAAAAACCCCAGGATCAAATTTTAAAAGCAAGAATAAACTAGGCAGACATAGCATGAGGCCTCAACACTGGAGGCTAATTTAACTTGACATGGAATAATAAACACTGCACAAACTAGAAAGAGAGCCAGTGCCGCTAGGGGAGCGCACATGCCCCGGGGCCGATGCTTGGGCTCCAGGCCCTGACCTAGCACTCTCAGCTGTGCGACCTTGTGCGAGCTACTCAACCACGCGAAACCTCATGTCCTCATATAGTATCACAGAAGGACCTACATCAGTGTTGTGAATATTAAATGAGATAATACACATACAGCATTTAGTACAGTACTTGGCCCATGGGGAGAGCTCAAGAGATGTCACCTGCTAGCACTGGTACTGTCATAATCCCAAGTATTTTCATGCTAGTCAGTAACAGCAGAGTACTACTAGTAGCATTTATATATTATACAGTGTCCTGATTGAGATGCCACACACAGTAGCCCAGGTATCAGACTACGTTTGGAAAGAAGACAGAAAGAATGTTCTCTGCCGTGCGTTGGCATAGGGGCTGGGTGTCAGGCTCTCAGAGGTCTCCCCGAACACTTCTCACCTTTACCCTCTAGCGCAGTGGTTCTCAACCTTCTGGCCCTTTAAATACAGTTCCTCATGTTGTGACCCAACCATAAAATTATTTTCGTTGCTACTTCATAACTGTAATGTTGCTACTGTTATGAATCGTAAAGTAAATATCTGATATGCAGGATGGTCTTAGGCAACCCCTGTGAAAGGGTCGTTCGACCGCCAAAGGGGTCGCGACCCACAGGTTGAGAACCGCTGCTCTAGACCCTGGCTCGCCTGCCACAGGTTTCCTCTTACCCTTTTTACATACATTCACATGCCCTTTTGAAATTGTCTCAGGGTTTTGTGGTTTCTGTTAAAGAGGAAATAGACAAGGGATAAAAGGCTCTCTCCTCTGCCTCTTGAAACCTCCATGTTTTATGCTGATAGCTGATTGAGAAGGACCGTGCTGGAACACACAGACAAGAGTAATAGTCACATGGAGTGGATGCCACAGGCTGAGCGACACACAAATCTGAGCTAAGGTTTATTTCCTATACAGCATATGACCTGACTCACTGACTTAGGACCAGCTATTGAGGAAAAGGACGGCATGTGCTACAGTGTCTGCGACGTCTCAGGGCAGTGCCCAAGACAGGGTCCCAGATGCTTCAGGTCCACACACCAGTAAAATTCCAAAAGGAAGACTGGAGGTTGACAAACACTGCCACGATTTTATTTGCTAACTATGGACGTGGGTTTTAAAAATCACTTATCAACAAATCTTAGCACTGAAGAAAAAGAAACCTACAGTCCTTTTCAATAAAAGACTGCTGACCATCACACACACACAGAGTCCTTATTTTTCTCCTTTCACCACAAGCCTGTGAAAACTCCATTCCTGCCAGCACCAGCCCCCCGACGGGTGATTGGCCAAGGTCCCATGGTAACAGTCAGTGATTATCCCGGAGCACCTGTGAGCCAGCCTCCATGCTGGCCTGCGGGATCCTTTCCAGAGTGTGTGGCCAGCAGTATGAGCGAGAGGTGGTATTCTTCCACTTATGTAAGAAAACCAGACTTCCAGGACCACAATCCAGAAGACATATGTACCAACCCTAAATGTGGCCATAGCAAAGAGCGGGGCCTCAAAGGATATTTCAACATTCTCTTCTCAGTAACCGAGAAATCTAGTAGAAAAACCAGAAGGGATATAGTAGACACTACCAACTAACATAACTTCATGCACATTATGGAACATTTCACCCAGTAACTACAAGTATACATTCATTGCAAGTACATATGGCATGTTCACCAAGATAAACTATATGCTGGACCCTCAAGTGTTGATAAATTTAAAAGCAGTGGAATTATGCAGAATATGTTCTCTAACCAAAGCAAAATTAAATGAGAAATGGAGAACAAAAAAGCTATAAAATCCCCAAATATTCGGAAATTACAGGACACACTTCTAAATAATCTATGAATCAAAGAAGAAATCACAAAAGAAATTTCAAGTGTTTCAAACAAAATGAAAGTTTGTTAACATATCAAGTTTTTTTGGGATGCAGCTAACAATTTTAAAAGGGCATTTATAGCTTTAAAACACTTAGAAAAAATATTTTAAGTTGAAAATCAATGATCTGAGCTTCTACTTTCAGAGGTTAAAAGAAGAAGAAGAGCAATTAATTCCACAGTAAGTAGAAGGAAGGAAACAAAGACTGGAAAGAATGAAACAGAAAACGTACAAACCAGAGAGGATCCGTGAGCCAGGAGCATGTCAAAGCCAATCTTTCCCCTCTTGAGGGAACAAATGCAGGCACGTCCTTTGACAGAAGTTGTCACAGTTAATGGAGGCTGAGTTAGCCCAGGGGAGTCAGACACAAGTGGGATGTGCAGACTCTATCCACTTGTTCAGCGCAGTACTGTGAAATAGCCTGTTAAGGCCTTGCCTGCCCACCCAACTTGCCGTTGCCCACCTAGATCAATCACCAGAGGTGTGATATTCTTCCTGAAGGTTTCCTGAAACACAATGAATCGCCTTTATTCTTGCCCACTTCTTGGTCCCCTGCACAGAACATCACAAAGATAAAACATACCTGCCTTTCTGTCTACAGACTGCTCCAAACAACTTTATATAATAGAGGGCCAAGGAATGGTGGGCACCAGAAGGGAACACTCGGTGCCATCTAACTCAGCAATAACTCACTCATGCTTCATGTTTCTACCAGAGTGGCACTGGCTCAGGCCACTAGAGAGAAGTCTTCCACTGAACAGACCCCTATAGCAGGAGAAAATTCTATAGCAAAGGAATACTCACCAGCAAGATTTTTCCTATTTTGAAGCCAGGCTCTTACCAGCAGAAGTTTTTTTTGCCACGAAGCCTCAGCCAATCTTGCGGTCAATAAGAAAGTTACTAAGTTGGAAGGGGCAATTCCCAAGATTGGGACTTTGTGTTTTGTCTCCAATATGGTCAGCCCAGAATCCTGGGGGAAGGTCACACCCACAAGCGGATGTGCTTGTGTTTCCAATTCACTGGAACAGTGAGTCCGAGTGCTTCCGAGGTCCCTGGTGTACTCACAATATGCTATCCAACCACTTCTGTGACATGGGTATTATACTAGGATATAGTATGGGATGCAGGAATTGTTCAGCTTAGGCCTCTGCCATTCTTTTCTCATCCTTTGCCATTCTGTGTCTCCCTCCCCTCCCCTGCTCCCCCATCCTTCTCTCTCTGTAAGCATGTCCTTTGGTGGGGATTTTTTTTTTTAAAGCATCCATGTGGAAGTCAACTATTTTCCCTCCCAACTTCATCTCTCTCTGGCATCACGGTGGCAGTCTTAAGTTTTTAATTCATTTGTTTCTTGCCTGCTATGTGAGTTCTCTGAGGGCTGGGGCTCTGTCTATTCTCTATTTTGCTGTGTTGCCATCACCTAGAATGATCCCTGACCTCACAGTAGGTGCTCTGTGGATATGTATTGTGTGAAAATGTGAATGAATTCATATTTTTAACTCTCCCTCCTATGACCCTGTTTTTAATCTCATCAGTTGATGGTTTTATCTAAATTACCTTTCATTACTAGATTTATTTAAGGTCACTCATCATTTTTTTTTAATCCCAGAATATACATTTGATGTGGGAAAGTCTTCTATTTTGTTGCCTTATCCTTTAACTATAATTTTCAACTGTCCTTTCCCACTGCCCTCTGATTTTGCTGGTTTTATTGTCAAAAGATGTGGGACGATTGGGCTCTCTCCTCGGGTGGCCCTAGGACACTGTGGCTGATGGAATAATGAGTCACAGTTTATGGGAAGGCCTCCTGCTGCAGATGTTCTTCCCGACCCTCCACGTGAGGCAAGCTTGTCCTCTCAGGCAGTGACCACAGGCTTCTGTACAAGGCCTGCTTCTTGGAGAAAATTTACCTTTCGAGTTTTTAGTCTTGATAGCACATCTAACTTACTGCATGAAAATAGAGTAAAGAAGAGCAAAACTTGGCAAAGTGGTGATTTGAGCAGCAGCATCCAACTTAATAAGCCCCAAGTGAACTCATCCTAAAGAAAACTTGTTTTTAAGAATCTCTCTTCCAAAAAAGGCAGTGAAAT